TGTAGAGGGGTGTTCATGATAATGGAAAGTGATCATAGCCAACATGTTACATTGACTGGAGAAGTAATCGCGCTGTAGACAATGTCCTTGTTAGATTCTTTAGTTTTCATGTTGTGGCATTAGGTATCAGTTTGCCGTATCTTTTCTCGCTTACTTTTCTGAAAAAATAGTTTTAACTTAAGCCTGGAAAGTACACAAAGAGGAAATCGTCTCATGTACATCATTACAACGAGGCTAGTTAGGCAAAGAAGTGGGGGAAAGGGGAGGGGGAGGGGAGTTGAATTTCAAAAAATTGTGAGGGATTTTGGTGAAATCGAGCGCTCGTTTAAATAATGAAATTGAAGAAATAGGCACTTTTCCACCAGTTTCGCAATTTTTATAGCATTTTTTTGGCTTAACACCTTTCGGTTTTATATAAAAACACATTTACATGTGATTTTCACAGACAAACAAAATATGTAATTTTATCGTTTTCAAGGACTCTCAAACTTTTGAAATTGTAAAACCTTTTTCTCGCTGATTTTATAACTCAAACCGGGCGACCCCTCCTCCTTCAATCGCAAATATCTTGACTTCTCCTCAAGTCAGATAGGTAATTTTTTCATTGAAAGCAACAAAAATAAAAAGACTTTAAGATGATACCCATAACTCCAAATGCCACCAAACCGACGAGAGTCTGATTCCACGGCGTCATGACAGAAATGTGTTTCCTCCTCCCCCAAGACATCCTCTAAGAAAGAAACTGTTTCCTTTGCCAATCTAGCAGCAATCTATTTGAAGGGAATGATTACAGGCAAAAACATTGACAAAACAAAAACAACCTTGTATTTTAAGAGTTCCAGGAGAGCGCTTCTCGCCTGCCGATTAATTCTTCCCATTCGCATTTTATTGTTTTTATGACATGTTCACCCCTCAATATTAGTTCTAACGCCAGGGTTATCTCAAGTCATAGCGTATTATTGATCGTTGGGTCTTAGAGCCTAGCGCTGGGGATATATAATGTTTAATATATATATATATATATATATATGTATGTGTGTGTGTGTGTGTGTGTGTGTGTGTGTGTGTGTGTGTGTGTGTGTGTGTGTGTGTATGTGTGTGTGCATGTGCGTGTTTGTGTTTGTGTGAGTGTGTGTATTTGTCAAAATAATTATTTAAAAAACTTTGATAACATTTTGTTATGGACGCACCCTGTGTGTACTCCTCTGCAGACTCTTAGGTAAGGTTAGTGAACAGCTTTTTGGGAATAACTGAAAACACAATTTAGGTCCCCTGTTTTTAACTCTTTGAAAAATCAAGTTGAAAATTACACGCTTTGGCTGAACTGGAAATGCAGAATGTCTCCCTTTTTCATAATTTTGCAGACTAATAAAAACCAGAACAAACAAAACCTGCCCTAACAAGAACTATCATCATCTCATCCCCCCCCCCCTTTCCCCTCTCAGTTCCGCGAAACAGCGTTTGGTACCTTTATGTTCCATGTTAGTCGGAACAAGGATAATTTTATGACGCTATGAATAACCTCTAAGTGCTAATGTCAAATTTACTGCTGTGTCCTCGACAGAACTTAAATAGGTCAATTAAAAACTGATAACAAGACAGTCTAACATCGGGACCTGGCTAAATCGATAGGCAGGCAGACAGACAGACAGACGAAAGACAGACAGAGCGACAGAGGGAGAGAAAGAGAGAGACAGAGGGAGAGAGAGAGGGAGGGAGAGAAAGAGAGAGAGAGAGAGAGAGACACAGAGAGAGAGAGAGAGAGAGAGAGAGAGAGAGAGAGAGAGAGACAGAGACAGAGACAGAGAAAGAGAGACAGAGAAAGAGAACGTTACAAGGAGATAAGGCACTGAATAGTTCGACATGAAAAGTTAGAATTCAAGTACCACAAAGCTGTTAGATTGCCAAGGGATCAAGGAGTTCTTGAAGGCAACGTCCTGAAGGTTTCAGGAGACTGCTGCGTCAGCAATCCTCTTCGACAACCCTACTGCCAACCATACACGAAAACATTGAAGTGAATACAAATATGTAATCCAGAACATACAAAATGATCAGAGGCAAAGTAATATATCTATGTCAGATATATCGTTCCTGGGCGTTGTTCCCACATAGTAAGTAGTAAGTGGAGGTTGGAGCCAACAACAACAACAAAAAAAAAAAAAGGAAGAAAAAAAGAAGAAGCAAAAACAAAAACAAAAAAACAAACAAAAACAAAACAAAACAGAAAAGGATCAACGGCGCCGAAATGATAATAATAATATGCTGTTTGAGAAGGCTCTTCACAACGAACGGACACAATAATATAACAAATGCCAGCTTACTCAAAGCAATTCACAAAGATCAGGGGCTCTTGACTCCCTCGAGAAGATGAAAAATGAGTTATTAAGGACATGCTATATGGGCATCTTTTTTGTAATATTACGGAGACGTCGCAAAGGCCAAGGTAAACTTCCGGACTCGTATTCGTGAGATTGTGGGTTCGGAGGTTCGAGTTCTACTTGGCTCTGTCCGTTCGGAGATGGACGTACAACTAGAAGGTCCGACATCTTAAATAATAGAGCTGGGCGAAGACTCGATTCCGGAACCGATCCCCACGATGAATGCTATGGGAGAAAAGTTCCGACTCCTTTTTACGTAAACCAACGGTTACCAGTCCATTCAATAATAACAATCATCTTCTTTAAAAAAAGAAATTGTTTTGGAAAAATGAAAGTTGATGCCTCGAAGTGTTCCGAAATCAAGGTTATCTTAAATCTTGTAGATGTTCGGAGCCAACCAGATAACCACTGGAAGAAATCACTTTATTAGAAAGTAAGTAATTGGGTTCGGAGTCGATTCCTACGATTCCTCCTAGCTTTTAATAATCGGGAACCTAGCCGCCCAACCCTATTAAATAATAACCTGACAGTCTTGACGATACCATTTCACCGTTTCCCAAAGGCAAAGAGAGAATAAAAAGCAGCAGACCTATAAAGTCTTCTTACGTCGGCAACATGTCCGGCTGAACCCTGGGAACGAAGAACGAGGTCCCACGTGAAGCAAAGGACATAGATGAGAAGAGACGTACGATGAGACGTGTTCCAGGAACAGTTACTGTCAGGCATAATGATGCGTGGGTGACATGTGGCAGGTTCAGTCAGCCTATACGCTAAACATACTATCATAGTATTATTTTTTTAAATACGGTACTCACAGAATCACACCCAGGAGGCTTGTCAATTAACAATACTTAGAGTATACGCAACAACATTAGATAGTAAATTGTAAAAGGTTGTGCCCCTATGTGCAGTGTAAATCGGACTGCCTTCGACCTTCTTGTCACTCTGACCCGCGCTGACTGAGACACGCTATCGTAACAGTAATGGATTATTGTTAGATGAGAGAATCGAACTCGCGCTTTCTGCGAGATGTAGCGAATATACAAACTGTTGCCCCACAGGCGCTGGCAATAGCGTAGTTTCGAAACACATGCTTATTTAAAAAGGGTGTTAAAACACAACTAGACACTAATGTCAAATTAATGTATCTGTGTGTGGGTTGTATTTCCTGATTGTTCTATAAATTATATTATTATTGATTCATTCTGCTCATTCATCCACTAAGACCAATAGACTCTATTTCTCTCGGTGTACTTGAGAACGTTTGTTCTCTGTCATCACTCCTTTTGCAATATTTTTTTCCTCAAGCATAGAGACGTTCTACATCAATGGTGAAGGTCGAATTTCACTTTTGTATAATACAGAAACAGCGCGCTCACTCATGCGTGCACACACGTGAGTATGTGACTGAGAGAGAGAGAGAAAGAGAGAGAGAGAGAGAGAGAGAGAGAGAGAGAGAAAACAGAAGGCT